AACCTGCAGCTTCATTGAGTTTATGTTTTAACTGTTTACTCCATCTTGGTTTCAAGTTTCTTGTCAGTTATTCATAGGGGGAGCAGAGGAAGCCCAACAGCCATTCGTATCCACCATTGTACCGCTGGGAGTAACTCAATTAGTTACATGGGAAATCTATAATCCTGTTTTGATCAAAGTGAACATTATGAACACAAACTGTGAGAAGCCGAAGTCAATTAATATTAGTATTCTGATCAAAGTATTTCTGCACAAAAAGTAACAAACTCATAATTAGTGTTAAAATATACCACTAACCACTAATATGAAAACATCTCGTTGGTCTATGGGACGGGTCTATTACGCCACTGGGTAAAACTAGGTTTGTAATCACAGTCACGCCTGATTGATCCAAAGTTGTCTGATAATTGGCGTGTCTGACAAATGGGATGTCTAACTTATGAGAGCAAAAGCATACATGGAATTTGAGACCCCCTTCTTCATCTCGGTTAAATGTGTGTTTAGCAATAATAAATCCTAAATAAAAAAACCCAACTTGCTTATATATACAGGATGTACAGGAGGACTGCAACAGTCACAATGGATTGACATGAGAGTGACGATGAGAGCTATCGGGATAGGTTTGTATGTTGAGGTACACTATCTTCTTATAAGTTTTCATTACTATCAATGCATCCCACTAATATATGATAACATTCATGATAACAGCACTCCGTGTCCAGCTCGTTAAACGACACAATAAAAATACAATAATATAATAGACTCACTCCCTTAAACCTCGGGCGAAGAATAGCCGTGACGGGCAGACGGGAATTACAAAATAATTGATCACAAAATATTAAAACGAAACGTGCGAACCTGGGTAGGTACACCTCGCAAGTGTGGGGTTGCCCACGATAGAAATTATTCAACAATGAATACTATGACGACATACCGAGTGTCACGTAGAATAAAAACACAGTTTTGATGCTTTTTGTTTCCTTTGTGAGGAGGTTTGACAAGGCCCTTCGCTCCCGAGTGGTGACGTGTGACGTCCTGGGCAGGAAGTGACAGTGTATTGACTTCTCTCCTTAATTACCCAGTTGGGGCTCCCTAATTGACCTTTATTTGTTCTGAAGCAGCATGGACTATTTATTTTATTTGGAAGTGGTTATTGGCAAATGTCAATAAGATTGACAAGACATATTTCAATGCAGTTACATTTTTAAGCTCTCACAATACTGTTTATGTTCCAAGAATTACAAATTAACAGTAATATTTCATATTCAACAATTTCTTAATTTTGACTGTTCTGACGTGTATGTTTTGATATTATCCGTTCGTACACGCATACCATTGACGAGCCACATTTCATGGCATTACTTCTAATGTTTTAAGTGCCTAGTGACTACATATGATGAGGTAGGTGAGAGCTAAAGTAATAATTAATATGTTTATAATAAGGGATAAACCACCATACCCCCAAAACATGGAAAACATATATTTTGAGTAAAAGTAATTATTCTCGCCAATGGGCCAACCTATTTTTCGCCCATGGGCGAGATTTTTTAATATCGTTTTAAGTTAGTCGAATTAAGTCAAAATGAGTTGAATTTTGTTTCATGATACTTATAAACATACATTCATTCATTTGCAACTTCCAAAACATGGAAAAACATATATTTTGAGTAAAAGTCAATATTCTCGCCCATGGGCCAAACTGTTTTTCGCCCATGGGCGAGATTTTTTAATATCGCTCTAAATTAGTCGAATTAAGTCAAAATGAGTTGAAATTTGTGTCATGATGCTTATAAACATACACTCATTCATTTACAACCTCCAAAACATGGAAAAACACATATTTTGAGTAAAAGTAAATATTCTCGCCCATGGGCCAACCTATTTTTCGCCCATGGGCGAGATTTTTTAATATCGTTCTAAGTTCGTCGAATTAAGTCAATATGAGTTGAATTTTGTTTCATGATACTTATAAACATACACTCATTCATTTACAACCTCCAAAACATGGAAAAACATATATTTTGAATAAAAGTCATTATTCTCGCCCATGGGCCAAAATGTGTTCCCCCATGGGCGAGATTTTTTAATATCGCTCTAAGTTAGTCGAATTAAGTCAATATGAGTTGAATTTTGTTTCATGATACTTATAAACACACATTCATTCATTTACAACTTCCAAAACATGGAAAAACATATATTTTGAGTAAAAGTCAATATTCTCGCCCATGGGCCAAAATGTGTTTCGCCCATGGGCGAGATTTTTTAATATCGCTCTAAGTTAGTCGAATTAAGTCAATATGAGTTGAATTTCGTTTCATGGTACTTATAAACATACATTCATTCATTTACAACCTCCAAAACATGGAAAAACATATATTTTGAGTAAAAGTCAATATTCTCGCCCATGGGCCAAAATGTGTTTCGCCCATGGGCGAGATTTTTTAATATCGCTCTAAGTTAGTCGAATTAAGTCAATATGAGTTGAATTTTGTTTCATGATACTTATAAACATACATTCATTCATTTACAACTTCCAAAACATGGAAAAACACATATTTTGAGTAAAAGTAAATATTCTCGCCCATGGGCCAACCTATTTTTCGCCCATGGGCGAGATTTTTTAACATCCATCTAAGTTAGTCGAATTAAGTCAATATGAGTTGAATTTTGTTTCATGGTACTTATAAACATACACTCATTCATTTACAACCTCCAAAACATGGAAAAACACATATTTTGAATAAAAGTCATTATTCTCGCCCATGGGCCAAAATGTGTTTCGCCCATGGGCGAGATTTTTTAATATCCATCTAAGTTAGTCGAATTAAGTCAATATGAGTTGAATTTTGTTTCATGATACTTATAAACATACATTCATTCATTTACAACTTCCAAAACATGGAAAACATATATTTTGAGTAAAAGTAATTATTCTCGCCAATGGGCCAACCTATTTTTCGCCCATGGGCGAGATTTTTTAATATCGTTTTAAGTTAGTCGAATTAAGTCAAAATGAGTTGAATTTTGTTTCATGATACTTATAAACATACATTCATTCATTTGCAACTTCCAAAACATGGAAAAACATATATTTTGAGTAAAAGTCAATATTCTCGCCCATGGGCCAAACTGTTTTTCGCCCATGGGCGAGATTTTTTAATATCGCTCTAAATTAGTCGAATTAAGTCAAAATGAGTTGAAATTTGTGTCATGATGCTTATAAACATACACTCATTCATTTACAACCTCCAAAACATGGAAAAACACATATTTTGAGTAAAAGTAAATATTCTCGCCCATGGGCCAACCTATTTTTCGCCCATGGGCGAGATTTTTTAATATCGTTCTAAGTTCGTCGAATTAAGTCAATATGAGTTGAATTTTGTTTCATGATACTTATAAACATACACTCATTCATTTACAACCTCCAAAACATGGAAAAACATATATTTTGAATAAAAGTCATTATTCTCGCCCATGGGCCAAAATGTGTTCCCCCATGGGCGAGATTTTTTAATATCGCTCTAAGTTAGTCGAATTAAGTCAATATGAGTTGAATTTTGTTTCATGATACTTATAAACACACATTCATTCATTTACAACTTCCAAAACATGGAAAAACATATATTTTGAGTAAAGTCAATATTCTCGCCCATGGGCCAAAATGTGTTTCGCCCATGGGCGAGATTTTTTAATATCGCTCTAAGTTAGTCGAATTAAGTCAATATGAGTTGAATTTTGTTTCATGATACTTATAAACATACATTCATTCATTTACAACTTCCAAAACATGGAAAAACACATATTTTGAGTAAAAGTAAATATTCTCGCCCATGGGCCAACCTATTTTTCGCCCATGGGCGAGATTTTTTTAACATCCATCTAAGTTAGTCGAATTAAGTCAATATGAGTTGAATTTTGTTTCATGGTACTTATAAACATACACTCATTCATTTACAACCTCCAAAACATGGAAAACACATATTTTGAATAAAAGTCATTATTCTCGCCCATGGGCCAAAATGTGTTTCGCCCATGGGCGAGATTTTAATATCCATCTAAGTTAGTCGAATTAAGTCAATATGAGTTGAATTTTGTTTCATGATACTTATAAACATACATTCATTCATTTACAACTTCAAAACATGGAAAAACATATATTTTGAGTAAAAGTAAATATTCTCGCCCATGGGCCAAAATGTGTTTCGCCCATGGGCGAGATTTTTTAATATCGCTCTAAGTTAGTCGAATTAAGTCAATATGAGTTGAATTTTGTTTCATGGTACTTATAAACATACACTCATTCATTTACAACCTCCAAAACATGGAAAAACACATATTTTGAATAAAAGTCATTATTCTCGCCCATGGGCCAAAATGTGTTTCGCCCATGGGCGAGATTTTTTAATATCCATCTAAGTTAGTCGAATTAAGTCAATATGAGTTGAATTTTGTTTCATGATACTTATAAACACACATTCATTCATTTACAACTTCCAAAACATGGAAAAACATATATTTTGAGTAAAAGTCAATATTCTCGCCAATGGGCCAAAATGTGTTTCGCCCATGGGCGAGATTTTATAATATCGCTCTAAGTTAGTCGAATTAAGTCAATATGAGTTGAATTTTGTTTCATGATACTTATAAACATACATTCATTCATTTACAACTTCCAAAACATGGAAAAACATATATTTTGAGTAAAAGTCAATATTCTCGCCCATGGGCCAAAATGTGTTTCGCCCATGGGCGAGATTTTAATATCGCTCTAAGTTAGTCGAATTAAGTCAATATGAGTTGAATTTTGTTTCATGATACTTATAAACATACATTCATTCCTTTACAACTTCAAAACATGGAAAAACATATATTTTGAGTAAAGTCAATATTCTCGCCCATGGGCCAAAATGTGTTTCGCCCATGGGCGAGATTTTTAATATCGCTCTAAATTAGTCGAATTAAGTCAAAATGAGTTGAAATTTGTTTCATGATGCTTACAAACATACACTCATTCATTTACAACCTCCAAAACATGAATTCTGATCGAAATTAAACATTCTCCTCCCATGGATGGGCCGGCCCATGGGCCACTGTTCGCCCATGGGCCTGCCCATGGGCGAGCAATTTAAATTTAAAGTTTTCGAAAGAATTTTTTTTCATTTTTTCATCCTTGGCATATATTCATAACAACTGCATGTTTAATTAGGTCAAATCCCTTGTCAGAAAGTGCCCACAGTGCGGAGAGTTTCTGGACTTTTGTGAGTCCAGAATTAAATTGTGACGTGTTCGAGTCGTTTCTCTGACCACATCTAAACTAACACATTAACGTCTTTTCATATCGTTTTTAAGCTCAATGTTAAGTAAAAAATAACCTGAGATTCCAACGCACATTATTGGGGTGAGTGATGGTTGTCATTTCCATGAAATGTTCAGTCCGGGAACAGTCACAGTGCTGGAAAACAAGAACGCAATTTTAACAAGTAATACTATGGATAAAATCCTTTCTGTTCTTATAAATAGAAAACCATGTAATCAAACATATTTCATTGGGACATTGTCCGGAAACAGATACAGTGGTTAAAAACAAGAATACACTTTTAACAAGTAATACTTTCTGTTCTTATGAATATAAAACTGTAATCATACATTTCAGGTTTGCGGTGAACATGATATGCATTGATTACAGAACATCACCGGGTGTTCGCGAGAGTGGTAGGCATGCCTTCTATGAGACACCTGCCCTAAAAGCAAACTCCGATGTGGGACTCCGATTCTACGATGTACATATATATATGAATGACGTTTAGAGAGTCAGCCTGCTAAGTCTTCACGAAAGTAAGTATGTCCTGGGTCACGTTGTACATGTCCTGGGACACTACATGCTGAGGCAAGTCAAGTCAATACTCACCTTAGTATTATTGCTACCTGCATATATGTACAACCAAAACCAATATATTAATGTCCACTAAATTCACTTTATATATATACTGAAAGCCATTAAAAATGCAGTTTGACATTCATACTTTCTTTACTCACACTAATTTCACATATATAAACCTCTCTGGCAGATATGTTTTAAGTGAACATCTGTGAATAATTTCATCTGAAAATATCCAGTCAACAACAACATCAGTGACGCAACAACGACATCACACAAAGGAGGGGTCACTTGCAGTCAATGTCGTGTGTGTCCACCGTGCGCTGCAAGACATGCTCGCAGTCTTTGGGGCATTGAAAGACACACATTTCTCAGAAACAGTTGTTGGATGGTCTGCAGCCTCTGGTGGTCTGTGGTCTGATCATGACACCACCCCCTCCAAAACGATCATGTTCAAGGACACAGTTTGGCGCAAGTCTTTCTCCTTTACGTCGATAAATCTGTTGACGTCCATCTGCAAAGGATAAGTTAAACCTGGATTCATCTGCAAAAATGACATCTGGCCATGTCCTGTTGCCAAGATTGGCCCCATTTGCTGCCCATCGCTGTCTGGCAAGTCTGTGGCGATGCAATAAGGTTGGACCACGGTACGGGTGACGACACCGGATGTTGAAGGCAGCAAGGCGTCCTTGCACCTTTTGGGCGCTGAAATGACATTGACTTGTCCCAACTTTCCTCCTTGCCTAATCATCAGCTGTTTGGAACCGATTTCGCAAGTGTGAAACTCGGATATTGCGGTTTTGTCGAGCTGTTATCACAGGTGGTGCACCAGGTCGCGGACGATCAGCAACACTTCCTGTAGCCCGAAAACGTTGTCTGAGTCGACTTACAGTGGATGGATGCACATTAAAGTGCCTGGCAATCATCACATCTGAAGCACCTTGGCTGACCATACCGATAACCTGATTCCTTTGGTCTTGTGTCAAGTGTGGCATTTTCTCAAAGTGATTGAGTTCCACAATTCCTTGTGCTTTTAGAGGGCCTGGGTGCAGGTAATGCATGTGCACAACGTCTTTCATGAATGTGGTTGTGTTTACGAGAAATGTCAAAGGTTCAGTTTAAAGTATCAAAGTTCATGTGAGAGGAATGCTCCGGGACTCGAACTCGAAATGGGCCAGAATAACAGCCTTTTATCCCTGTATATCGCAGGAAAAAAACTTCAATAGAACTTTTGTAAGTTTCAGGCCCCGGGGTCTTGAAAGTGACTTAAGTCTAAAATTTGCTTAAGTCTGTCATTTTGATCTTAAGTCAAAAAAATTGTCTTAAATCGGGGATCACGTACATTTTTTAGTCTTAAAAGTTAAGACTGAGATCATTTTTTGTCTTAAATCCTGAGACTGCTTCCTACCAGTCTTAAGCCCTTTTTGATGCCGAGGTTTTTTTCAGGCGCACAATTTCATAAGGTTTGAAAAGTGAACGTTGTGCGAGATTTGCGCTCGCGTGGTCCTGGATCTGCGTTCAGCTATAAAATTACACAGAAATGTGGAATATTAAATTTCCTATCCGTTGGTATAAGTATAAATGCAAATACCTCGGCGGTTTGAGAAATAAACACTGCTAAATGATGTCCAAAATTTTGCTATGCATTCAAAAACAGTAAATTTCTCCGCTTTTAATCGTGCACCGGTAAAAGCACTGTGCTACGATTTTTTAAAATTTGGCATCTTTACAGAAAGTGTGAGCGAATAAATTACAGCCTGATATCTGAACGACATAAGTATATATGAAATGGGTTTATTTGCTTATGCATAACGTTATACGCTCAACATTAAAAATGACTCGCAATAAATGTCAAAAATGGATTTTCTTCTATGACGTCAAAGGACGACAGAGAGGTCATACGCGTATAAAGATAAGGGGGCATAACTCCGCTATGCTTAACTCTAGGTCAATGTAACTCAGATCACTTGGAGAGAATTTGTTGTGGATACGGCCGCTATATTTTCCTTATGTTTTGTTCACCGTGAACCAAACTACATGTATTCCAATACAAAGTTCCCCAATGTGAGCGGATACGTTTCAGTAGTTTCACAAGTTATAAGAAAAGATGACAATGTACTATATGAGAAAGCACGTAAAAGCGATTTGGATGGCCCGATCCGATATGTAAATTAGTTCCTAAATTCACACATTCTCCTGTTTGTGTAGATGTATTTTGACTGATTTTGCATCATTATTTACTGAGTACTAGCCATATCTTCAAATATAATGAAATTACTGAAAAGATTACAAAATTGTAGTTGACGTCATTGCTTGTTTTACGTATTTTGCGACGTCGGAAAAAAACGACACTGGTATGCTGATCAGTATATATCTCACATAATTTCCATGAATTGTGTAAAAGGTTTCGGTTTCTATGTCTGAACTTAACACTCTTGTGACAGAACTTAAAATGACTGATTTTACCATTTAAATAATGTCCTGAATAGATCCATAATTAGACGGTTTAACTTGTTATCTTAATATGAACAACACACGCACCTGTTTGGCATCAATTTGACGTAAATTAAAAAGAATATTTCACAACCCCTGGCCCCGGGGTCATGAAAGTTAAATCGCTATTCATAACCTGTTCATATGCAACTGTAATATTGGTTCGAATGGCGAATATTGCACATGATACATGAACTATTTAAGTACATGTTGCAGTTACGCCTTCGGTTGTTCTTCTAATACTTGTTTAAGGGTTTAAAATATGGTGTACTACACTCAGTATATCAATTTCTTATGTAAATTTTATTCAAACAAACAAAACCCTTGAAAGAATGAAAACCGTATACCCTATATCCAAGGATATGATATAGAACAAGGCTAAATGTAGATAAAGAAATTAGTTTCATGAAACAGCTGAATAGGAAATATACGTGATGTAATAGGCGTCTCAATACCGGCCTTCGCGAAACGTGATTTTGAAAACACTATCCAATGCAATATGGCAGAAAGGGCACTAGGCGTTCCAGTTGGTGTATTTCGAAAACATCCCAACCTTAAAGACACTAAAATTCACCGCGGCAGGGATAAAAGCGTCAGTTGACTTGTTTGGAACATTTCTGCAGGTGCCTGCTACTAAACTATTCTCCTCAATTAATTTAGAGTGACCGGACATGATTACATCATTCTTAAATTTCCATGGTAACTGTCTTAGTCTTAGTCTTAGCTAAGATTTGACTGAGACAGTTTCATGATCCAGTCTTATCTAAAATTTAAGCTAAGCAAAAAATTTTAAACTTAAGATTTTTTGGGGGCTAAGCAAATTTTAGACTTAAGATTTTTTCATGATCCCGGGGCCAGAACAACAAATACCAATTGCGTTTTTAATGGCTTACAGTATATATATATATTACCAATATAATAACGTGTACTTTATTATATACCCATGTAAACTTTACGTGGTCAAATTCCGTATTGAACCCCAGATTCCGTATTGAACATTTAGCCCGTTCTACATTGCTACGCTATGATTTGCTTTAATATGTAACAGATTAATGAAAGATAAGAGGGTATATAAATATAGAACGTCATACTAGTGCATTTGGATGTTTTGTATTGAGCTCGAAGATGCCTTCGAACTCATTGTTTCTGTGCTCCCATGACGTCTTCTCGCTTGATACAAAACATCCAAATGCACTAGTATGACGTTCTATATACGTGTATGTATCCACTTTCTGTACGGTATCAACCTGTTTCGTCTAACTTTTAAAACAGGTAAACAGAACAGAACAGAACAGAACAGAATTTTATTTCAGTAACAGGCCTCCGGCCCAAAATACATGTACATAAATTGATGATAAGTAGAGCACATATATATTTCATTTAGATTTGTGTTTCTTGTCAACAAAGTATAAAAATAGACATACATCCTTGATAATATTAACATTTTTACTCTGTAATATTGATATAAAATTAATAATTGATGGACATTTACTAAAATATTTTGATATGTACTTATTTCTGATATGAGAATATGCATCACAGATATAAAATACATGCCATTCATCTTCAACAACGAAGATACCATTTAATTTACAAAACAGGCAATGCCTTTCATTATATGCAACATCAGTGTATCTGCCCGTTTCAACTGCTAGTTTAAAATTACAGCACCGAAATCGGGCATATATAGTTTTAAATATTGAGGGATATCATTATTTATCAAGTAGCTCTCAACATTTAACAAAGATTTGAATTGCTTATAGTAAAGACATTTACAGTTACTGTCCAAAGATGAATGCCAAGATTGAAATAAATTATCATGTAGTCTCTGTTTAAATGATTCCATAAATATTTTGTGATCACCAATTTCCTGACTTATCCAAACAAATCCAAAACCAAATTGAAAAAGAATATTTTTAATCCTACCCTGTCTAAAAATAATAGCATAAAATAACGTTGTTTTGGTAATCTATAGTCAGGCATGTTTAGAAGTCTGCACCAGTATTTCACTGCATTGGTAAACAGTAGCAATTAGACGACCCAGGCATAGTCAGGTTGAGTGACTAAGCTTGTTAGACGGAGTAGGCATGTGGACCAGTCCATTTCAAACTTAACAGGGGTGTTACCACAAAATAAGAACAAAGACAACATAAATATATTTCATCGTACATTTATTATTTTAATGTACTTATTTGCATATATATCTCACACATAACATTCACAAATATATAGAAATATATTTTATCATATATTTTTACTTATATTATAGTTAGTTGCACAAACATCTGCAACTTATCACCACACACACATATATATACAAATCATATATATTCCATTATTCAAAAATATACATAAATATATTTTATCATATATTGACTGTATAGTCAATTACAGAGACTTCATTGCTTAAAAGTTTGTCTTTTGCACGACGAAGACCTTGGTCAACTGCCACATACTGTCGGCGTCTTGATGGTTCACGTCTGTTTCCTCTCTTCTGTGCACGTTTCACCACAGTTGTAGACTGTTCCCTCTTGGTGAGCTGAATGAAATCAAATATATTCGGGTGGCATGGGGTGAGGGAGTTGATCTTGTTGTGCCAACCTTCAATGTTGTTGTTCTGTGGCCAGCATTAACAAAGTGGTTCCAAGTCGGTTGGTCCCAGGCTCCCTCAATCCATGCTGTTGTCACATAGTCCATAAACTTGACACAGTCCTCTCCCTCGGGACTTTCACTGATAGCCTCTAGCCACACATTTTCGACTTGTTCAAGGGGCACTAAGGGAAGGGCTTTAGCTCGGCTCACCAGTTGATAAAAATCTCCTTTCTCCCTATACGTTGCTGCAAGTCCGACATTTTGAATCTTCATCTCTCAATGTATTTAGTTACTTAATTAACTTGCATTTCCTGATTAAAAGAATAACTCATTAATCTTATCAATAAGTGTTTGAAAATAAACTTACTGCTTGTAATCTCTTTATTGTCAGATCACTTGGACATATCTTAATTGATAAACCCCTTTAGTTAATCTAATCTCATTAGTAAGCATCTTGAGACCCCCAAGATCTCCAATAGCCTCTCCCAAACAGATTTTACGGGTCAGTGACTCCACGGCTCACACTGACCCATGGAGAAATCACTCATGCGTGGTTAGACAGTCCAGGTATAGTCAGGGCCTAAAAATTAGACGAACCGGGTTGTAATCTTCTGTACATGTATATGTCCGACCTATAATTGCTTCCAATATGTTAACGTGTACAGTATACACTTTCTGTACATGTATGTGTCGGCCCTTTAACAGCGTCTACGTCTATGGAGGCCTTTCGGGCACCTACTTGACACAACGTACTATTATTGTAACCTGAATGTGTACAACTACTACCAATATATTCATGTGTATGTTTATATTCACTTTCTGTACAAGTATAGGCCAGACCTTTAACTGCTTCTCCTGGAAATGGATGCTATTAGAGCACACACTTGACACACCTTAGTACTATGACTGTCGGAATATATACCATTATTACCATGATATGTGTGTGTGTGCGTGTATGTTTAAGAATACGATTAACGATTACTCATTTTGTACATCAGTATCTGCAAATATTGGTTCGGGTTAATTATGTTCTGAACACTTTTCATTTAGAAATAGTCCCCGATTATATGCTACGTAACTTGATTCAATGTACAGATTGTTGAGTGCACGTATTCTTGTATGTACGTCTTTACTGAAACTTAGAATGATGGTGTAAGGATCGGTGATTTGGTTGATACATGTGGTCGTAGATTGTGTGGATGGCTGTTCATGATGTCAGTCACTGGGTTGTCAAGTGCATACTAGATTATTTGCAGATCGTCTTCATATAGTTGGAATTCTGCTCAGCATGGCCATAAACAACAAACAGAAGTACAGATGAATACAGACCTTCAGGAATATTGAAACCTAACACTACAACATGTCTGGGAAACATAAACTGGCAAATGCCCTGTCTGTATTGAAATGTTCAAGTGCTGAGGAATATTCTGTTTTCACATGCTACTTTCTAGAACTCAATACCTGTACAAATCTCTCATCGATCTGTTATGTGAAGAAGTCATAGGCCTGGCTTTGGAGAAACCCATTCGTTTTGTTGACAGTTCTTGGTTTCAGGCCTTAGACTGAGGCTGGTTCAAACTGCCAGGATTGTCTGTACATTGAGTGTTTGGATGAACAGAATGATGGGCATGGAATGTGTAACGACTCCGGGGATGTATGATGCTGCCGAGAGTGTACAAAGTAGTGGTTGATGGTTGTCACTCCTACACAGCATAACGAGGACGAGGGTCGGTTTTAGGTGCAGTTGTTGATTGAGGACAATGCATGTACCACGAGAAGTGAGAGTCTGCTTGACATTTATTGATGAGCAGGAAAGCAGTTATGGGTTATGAAACCAAAGTGTTCCTTTGAATGTTAGTTTATTGAAGAATCACAGAGCAGGAGTGGCACTTTACAACAAGCGATGAATGGCAAGGTTTATGCCATCAAAAAGCAATGTAATGACAGTTCAAGAATTGAAGTGAATTGGAATCACAACCCGGTTGCCTGCTATAGTTGTATCAAGAAGGTATTGATTGCGTTTTTAACATGCCCTTCACATCATGCTCCGAAAACATAGTGACCAGCTGTATGAGATTGGAATAAGAACACATAAGAAACTATGTAGGCTGGGAGAGACTAATCAAGACCAGAGTGTTTAACCAGAGGGCCCATGCTGCATTGTGGTTGTGGCCTTACGGCAAATCTCTTTTAATATCCAACAGAAGGCAATATACTGGATTGTTTTCCCCTTGGGGTCACTATCCTACAACTCATCATCTGAGGGCAGTTCGTGATTAGGTTTGGTCACGCTAAAGGATGACCGCAGACAACTATATGAGCTTCTGTAGAAATCACAACATCTAATATTTGTCTCAGAGGGCTGGCCCGAAACTGTTGACCGCTTGTACAACACTCATCGCCTGGAATTTGAAGAATCAGTGTTACAATTTGCTGGGAGTATTGTGTGTTTGTTGCAGAGAGCCAGTATCATTCAGTGCTTCATTACAATGCGGAATCCTGTTATTTATCCATACCGTAACGTACACATATGGGAATCGGTTGGCTGGTTCATCTAAGGCAGTCAACTCTATGTTCAAAATGTGCCAAAGAAATCTTAAAATCATCGTGGTTGTATCCCAAATTTTCGTCCTTATAAGTGAGTGAGCGAGTGACTATAGTTTTACGCCTCTTTTTGAAAATTCCCAGCAACATGACGGTGGGGACATCAGAAATGGGCTTCACACATTGTACCCAACCCGGGTCTTCGGTGTAATGAGCGAACGATTCAACCATTAGGCTACCCTACCACCCCTTATGAAGGCTTAATGTTTGTCAGTTCGTTGCTATACAAGTGGTAGCTTTGGGGATGAAGCTCTGCCGACTCCATATTAAATGTTAAATGTCAGTTGGCATTCTATTCCCACGACATTATTCATTGCGAATGGCACAGACACTCTAAAGGTCAAGTTACAAGCTCTGGTATTTGAGAAGATTCTTACGTTGGCCCCGCTAAGTCAATGTAATGAAAGAAGTCCAGTTATCGGGATGAAGCATGTCCTACGATTTCTCACGCAGTGTAAATACGACATTGTGTTGATGGTACTTCATCCATGAGAATAACCCAGTTACGTCAGATGGTTCGATGATATTCCGAATTACCACGTTTGTAGATCTAATCAGTGTTGAAAGAGATTCCTAACTGACATATCACAACACTTTATCAAGCAGTAAGAGACATAATCTATCACTTTAAGTCACACACGTTGCGTCTATACCTCAACGTGGAATAAAGATAGACACGGGTGTTGATCGTGCTGTCAAGACCAAGGCAACCGTGACGTGAACCAAAGTACCTTAATATATTAATTATACTTTAGACATGTAAGGCGCGTCTTTTCCTTAACGGGTGTTGGCACAGACGTTATTAGTGAGCTGCAAGACACCTTTAACCTGTACATGTGACCGTGGTGACTGTTAAGGTAGTCATGATACAGAAACATCATTTCATGAAAAGACCACGACAGCCCAGTTGTTTAAAAGCGCGACACTTCGGTATGCAGAGCTGCATCCCTTTGGCAACTTAGGATTGTGGGTCCGAATCCAGGTGCATCCGAAAGAGTGCGTTTAGGTTTTTTTCAGCAGCATACCCGAGCTCGTTGGGTTCACCGAAGCGATTAACATTGATTAATGTCCCTTAACATGATCCTAGCATGCTTAATCTTTAACTAATGCAAAATACTTAATGCAACGAACTGAACACCACTGAAATGGCTAACCTCCAATACCCTCTCTACCTGCCCCATTGTAACACCAATCGACACTCCCCATTCTCATAGTAATTAACACTCAACATTTCACCCATCATCCAGCTTTCACAAAAAACATCTGCTTAAACTTCTAACTTAACCACACCTCATTACCTCATTCTCTATTGCTACACTACAGGCCTGTTATCAACAACCACACACAACCCATATAAATCCAGTCAGTCGCCGCACCAGTAATTCCCTCTAACAGGTGTCCGGTGTTATCTTTGTAATCATCAGGGTTGTACAATCAAAAACAAGCTTTGGCTTTCTTCACTGCTCCCTAATACGCCTTCTTATCATGTCAGGAAATTGTCTCTTTAAGGAAATGAGAAATAGCTTTGAAGAAAAACGATGACATCGACCACATTTAAGTAGCCTGATAGTATGGGCGTTATTTCATAATGTGAAGGAAAGAGGTGATATAGAACACAAAAAGGATCTGGCGCCACATAGATGCATCGTAAGCAAGAATGTCCTCCAATGATCATTCATATTGGGGAAACCATTGTGATCTGATGACGTTGCTTGATGGGTTTCTCAATGGATATAGCCCAAAGGTGGCAGGACTTCTGGGGATGGGTTCTCGCAATAACCTCACCTTTTATCTGACATTGAGGTCTGCAGACCTTCGTTGATATTGATTTTCATCCTTGCCAACTGACCCCATGTCCCACACTTCCACACTAATTAAATGTATTAGTCCAATAAGACGAGGCGTCCCCGTATCATTCCGGTAGATTGGTACATATATTTTACCTCAGAGGCTACTAGACATGCAAATGGAGAACGTTTAGATGCCAGGACGTAACCTGTTGGTGCAACTCGTCTTAACGAGCAAAACTTTTTCTGGAATAATGGTAGTTTTGGCTAAGTGAACGTTTATGAAATATTGTCGTCTATGTGTAACTACTTTTGGGTGTTTATGTGA